ACAGGTGCTGAGCCTTTTTTTTTCTGAGATAGTCTTACTTTGTCACCCTTGGTAGAGTGCTATGGCATCGTAGCTCACAGCAACCTCAAACTCTGGGGCTCAAGCCATTCTTTTACCTCAACCTCCCAAGTAGCTGGGACTACAAGCGCCCAACAAAATGCCCAGCTATTTTTTTGTTGCAGTTGTCATTATTGGTTAGCTGGCCTGTGCTGGGTTCAAACCCGCTAACTTTTGGTGTATGTAGCTGGCTCCATAACCAGTGTGCTATGGGCGCTGAGCCAAGGAAGGGACATCTCTTAAAAAGCCTACCCCAGTGTTTACATAGCAGGTATCCCAAAGTAACTGTGCCAAACTGGATTTTTTTAAATATTCAGTTTTGGGCAAACTGGCTTCTGGGGTCACCTGTGTTTCTTACTTAGCAAAGCACAAGGAATTATTTTAATCTTGCAGGAAGTTTGTGAAAGTGCCGTTTTATTTATTTGTTGTTTTTTTCCCCTGAGACAGAGTCCCACTATGTCACCCTTAGTAGAGTGCCATGATGTCACAGCTCACAGCAACCTCAAACTCTTGGGTTTAAGCGATTCTCTTGCCTCAGCTGGGACTACAGGTACCTGCCATAACGCCCAGCTATTTTTTTTGTTGCAGTTATTTAGCAGTTTGAACCCGCCAGCCCGGGTGTATATGGCTGGCACCATAACCACCAACCTTGCTTCGGGCACCAAGCCTATTTGTTTTTTAAGACAGTCTTACTCTGTTGCCCTGGGGTTGAGTGCAGTGGTGTCATAGCTCATAGCAGTCTCAAACTTCTGGGCTAAGGAGCTTCTCTTAATCTCAGTTTCTTGAGTAGCAGGGACTACAGGTACCCACCATAATGCCCAGCTAATTTTTCTGTTTTTAATAAGAGACAGGATCTCGTTCTTACTCAGGCTGGTCTCGAATTCCTGAGCTCAAGCAGTATACACTTCTCAGCCTACAAGAATGCTAGGGTTACAGCTGAAAGTGCTGTTTTAGTTCCTGAGCTTTGTAAATGTTTCATATTCTGTAAACAAGGTAAAAGAGGTCTGTTCCATATGTAAAACCAAACTAGGCCACCAAGTTTCTTTGAAAACTCAGCCACTAACCATCTTTGAGGGAGCTGTTCTTCTATGTTAAAGGCTTCATAAAATGGAAGTTTCAGGAAAATTCCCTATGCTGCTGACCGAGAAGTTGGGTTTTTACTTTGGGAAATTTTAGACATTTCACAGCCTAGGAGTTATGTCCCTGTTTTCCTACAATTTAGAAGTTCACTTGGCTTAACCAGAAAAGGTGAATCTGACTTCAGAAACAGGATTCTAGGAAGGAGGCCTTCACTTCTGCAGCTCAGGGGTTTCAGGAAAGACTCTGGAACACACATAGGTCCCTGTGGTTCAGTGTATGCCCAGCTGTACGCCCAGCTATACCCTAGGAAAGATTACATTTCTGTTTTCTGGGGGCCACATCTGACCTCTTTACTTTTTCTTTTGATTCTGTCAAATTGATCATTTTAATTTTTCTTACATACCCAGACTGGGAAAACTAAAAGTATGTTTATCATAAAGGTTCACAAAAGACATTTCATCTTCCAGAGAAAACAGTATTTCATCTTTATGATTTTCATAAATGTAATCAATTTTATTATTATTTAATAAAAAGTCTCTGATATCCATGTTTTCTTGTGACTTATTTTTCCACATACTGGATATTGGATGTCCTTCCTTCTACGTTAGGACCTCTGTCTCATTCCTTTTAAAACCATGTGTGTGTGCCAGCTTCAATTACGTAAGGATTGAGAAATCTCCTCCTGGTAGTGAGGTTTGGCTCAAGTTTAAGGCTTTTCTCTTTAGCCAGATGGGTGTGGGAATGACTTTGTTGGAAGCCACAGGCCCCTTGGTCTTGCCTGCAGCAGCCATTGGGTCATGGTTATCAGGTTCCTTGACATGTGGGGTCGGTCCCACGTGGATTTCTTTCCCTTTTGTCACCCATAAGTTGTGTTTTTTTCTCTATGTTCTTGTCTTAATGCAGACCTCATATTTTGTTTTAAAATCAAGCACTTTTTTTTTTTGGAGACAGAATCTCACTATGTTGCCCTCAGTAGAGTGCTGTGGCGTCACAGCTCACAGCAACCTCCAACTCTAGGGCTTAAGCGATTCTCTTGCCTCAGCCTCCCAAGTAGCTGGGCCAAGCTGGGTTTGAACCCACCAACCTTGGTGTATGTGACTGGTGCCATAACCACTGTGCAATGGATGCCGAGCCATTTGTTTTTTTGAAACAGTCTCAAGCTGTAGCCCTGGGTGGAGTGCTCTGGTGTCATAGCTCACAGCAACCTCCAACTCTTGGGCTCAAGCAGTCGTCTTGCCTCAGTTTTTCTATTTTTAGTGACGGGGGTCTCCTTTTGCTCAAGCTGGTCTCGAATTTGTTAGCTCAAGTAATCTGCCCACTTTGGCCTCCCAGAATGCTAGGATTACAGCTGTGAGCCAGCATGCCCGGCCTCTAGTGTCATGTTTCGTTGACTGGAGAGTGGTGAACGGTTATTTCCTGTGTGGGGCGCTGGGCCAGGGTCCTACCCCACCCCCAGCACTGTGGACACTGGGGTTGGGTCATTGCCCTCAGGCAGGGCACTGGACCTCAGTTTCCTGGTGTGCAGGATGAGCCAGTCCCTCCTGCCTTACAGGAAATGATGAGTTTCATGAGCGTTCTCTCTCTGGGGGATGCAAATGTTAAGTCAGTTTATTAATAACAGCAAAAGCTGCACAGTATAGCCACTCAAAGGTGTGAGTTAAGAGTCAAGATCGGGGCTCGGTGCCTGTGGCTCAAGCGGCTAAGGCGCCAGCCACATACACCTAAGGTGGCGGGTTCGAATCCCCAGCCCGGGACCGCCAAGCAACAATGATGGCTGCAACCAAAAAAATGGCCGGGCGTTGTGGCCGGGCACCTGTAGTCCCAGCTACTTGGGAGGCGGAGGCAGGAGACTCGCTTGAGCCCAGGAGTTGGAGGTTGCTGTGAGCTGTGATGCCATGGCACTGTACCCAGGGGGATAGCTTGAGGCTCTGTCTCAAAAAAAAGAAAAAAAAAAAAAAGAGTAAAAATCAGCAGGTGCTATGGCTCATGCTTGTAATCCTAGTACTCTGGATGGCTGAGGCAGGAGAATCTGCTTGAGCTTAGGAGTTCAAGACCGGCCTAAGTAAGAGCCTTTACTAAATTAAGACCTGTCTACTAAAAATAGAAAAACTGAGGCAAGAGGATCACTTGAGCCCAAGAGTTTGATGTTACTGTGAGCTATGATGACACCACGGCAATTTACCCAGGGCAACAGAGTGAGACTCTGTTTCAAAAAACATAAATAAATAAATAAAAGAGCAAGATCCCCATCTTTACTAAAAATAGAAAAAATTAGCCTGGTGTCATGACAAACACCTGTAGTCCTAGCTACTGGGGAGGCTGAGGGCTCACTTAAGCCCATGAGTTTGACATTGCTATGAGCTAGGGTGAGGCCATGGCATTCTAGCCTGGGTAACAGAATGAGACCCTGTCTTAAAAAAAAGAATTGTGACAATCACTAAGCTGGAAGAAGATAATCCCCTTTCAACCCTTCCTGGCACCACCATGAGATAGGGAGGGTGGCCCCTGCCCAGCCTTCATCTACAGTGCCTTCTCAGATGGTCCCTGAGTAGGGAAATGGTCCCAGAGTGGGGAAATGCCTTCTCAGGGAGTTAGAGACAGGAATGTGTTCTTCTCTCTGACATCCACAGTTGCTGCCTACTTACTAGTAAAGAGGTTAGCAATTTAAAAATAATTAGTCAGCTCAGCACCCATAGCACAGTGGTTAGGGTACCAAACCACATAAGCTGAAGGTAGCAGGTTTGAATCCAGCCCAGGCCAGCTAAACAACAATGACAACTATAACAAAAAATAGCCGGGCGTTGTGGTGGGTGCCTGTAGTCCCAGCTACTTGGAAGGCTGAAGCAAGAGAATCACTTGAGCCCAAGAATTTGAGGTTGCTATGATGCCACAGCACTCTACCAAGGGCGACATAATTAAATTCTGTCTCAAAAAAATAAAAATAAAAAATAATTACTCACGGGGAAAGGTGGCTCACACCTGTAGTAAATCCTAGCACTCTGGGAGGCCCAGGCAGGGGGATCACCTGAGCTCAGAGGAGTTTGAGATCAGCCTGAGCAAGAGTGAAACCCTGTCTCTATAAAATATCTGGGCATTGTGATGGGCACCTGTAGTCCCACCTATTTGGGAGGCTGAAGCAAGAGAATCACTTGAGCCCGAGAGTTAAATGTTGCTGTGAGCTATGACACTACAGCACTCTACTGAGGGCAATAAAGTGAGACTCTGTCTCAAAAAAAATTAAGGCTGGGCGCCGGTGGCTCATGCCTGTAATCCTCGCACTCTGGGAGGCCAAGGCAGGTGGATTGCCTGAGCTCACAGGTTCAGGACCAGCCTGAGCCAGAGCGAGACTTCGCCTCTGAAAATAGCTGGGCATTGTGGCAGATGTCTGTCTGCTATGGAGGCTGAGGCAAGAGAATTGCTTGAGCCCAAGACTTCGAAGTTGCTGTGAGCTATGATGCCACACACTCTACTGAGGGCGACAAAGTAAGTCTGTCTCAAAAAAAAAGTTGTTTTAGTGTGGCGCCTGTGGCTCAAAGGAGTAGTGCTCTGGCCCCATATGTCGGAGGTAGCGGGTTCAAACCCAGCCCCAGCCAAAAACTGGAAAAAAAATTTTTTTAATTATTTAATTAAAATAAAAAATAATTATTAATAAGAGGGAAACAGAGCAAACAGACCAAAAGCACTTAGATTTGGGCCCTACCCCTGCTCTTTGCAGAACAAGCTTTTTCCCCTCAGTATTATGGACAGTGAAGCAGGGTCACTCTCTGGGGTGGGGTGTCCTGGGCATTGCTTGTGCCTTATCACTGTAGTTTTTGCCTGTATCTTCCCTGGCCTGTCTTCTCTGCATCTGTGTCAAAATTTCTGTCACCTAATGTAAGGACACCAGTCACTGGATCAGGGCCCACTTCAGTGTGACCTCATCTCAACTAATGATCTCTGCAAAGGCCATTTTTCCAAAGAAATTCCCACTCAAGAGCATCAGAGCTTAGGACTAGAAGGTATCTTTATGGGGAATACAATTCAGCCCATAAGAGGAAAGTTGAGGAGTGACTGCTGATGGAGTTGGTGTTTCTTTTTTGAGGTGATGAAAATGTTCTAGAATTGGCTCAGCGCCTGTGGCTCAAGTGGCTAAGGCACTAGCCACATATACCTAAGGTGGCGGGTTCAAATCCAGCCCGGGCCCGCCAAACAACAATGATGGCTGCAACCGAAAAAA